AAAATTTGAATCCCACCCCTGGACGGCTTATTAGCAGGGAGGAATGGGGACAGGATGACCGAGAGAGGACAAGCAATGGACGTGAGTAGCGACAGAGCTTGGCCAATGAGCAAAGACTTCCCCCTCCTGATCCCCAAGCATAGAGAGTAGAAAGAAGGCAGCTGACCCAACAACTAAGGAGGAGAGCGCCCTGCCCCTCTTCACAAGGCACACCTGGGGATTGACATTTAAGGAAATGCTGTGGGGAGGGGGATTTGTTGGGAATTAACATTGAATTGGTAGAGTTGGGTGTGCTGCTACACACATTTGTGTACTTGCTTCTTCCTTACTTTGTGGACTCATTGTTCCATGGTTCATGGACTCCTTTCCCTGTGCTTTTGCTTTGCTGGACTGGGTGCAGTCAAAGGCTGCGATGTTTGTGTGTGTGTATATGCACACCTTGCTCTGGGAGTTGCCAAGAATGTGGGAGCAGTTGGGGGGAAATTTTGAGCACTAAAAGGGAGTTTGAATTCTCAAGTGGCTGTATGACTTTCGTGCCTTCTCCCAGGTCATCACACCTATAACAATCCACTGTTTTTCTCCTGTCTTAGAACCGGACTGGATTTTTCTTCCAACAACACCATCATTCCAGAAATGCTACTCTCTAAACTGACTCAGCTAGCTGTTCCTGACCATCTTTATAGATGGAGTCAGTGGTGGGATTCAAATTTTTTTTACTATCAATTCTGTGGTTGTGGCTTGGTGGGCGTGGCTTGTGGGCATGACATGGGAAGGATACTGCAAAATCTCATTCCCTCCCCACCCCTGCTTTCCAGCTCTATTCTCCTGTGCAGGGCAACAAAAGAAGACCCAGCTGATCAGCTGGGACTTGGGAAGCAGAGAATAGATGGGGGCAGGACCAGTCAGAGATGGGATTTGCTGGTTCTCCAAACTACTTAAAATTTCTACTACTGGTTCTCCAGAACTGGTCAGAACCTGCTGAATACCCACCTCTGGATGGAATATAAGCTTCCCAACAGATAGGAAGCAGCAGGTGAAGCTAGATAAAGTCACATAGAATATCCATTCAATTAGCAGAGGAGCCCCCACGGCTGTATGCATTTCCTTCCATCATTGTTTTCCCTCTGTACCAAAGACTGCATCCCTCTGTTAAAATACTGAAGTTTGCAGATGATACAAGAGTCACTGGTCTCATTCGAGAAGACGATGATTCTGCATACAGACGGGAGGTAGAACAACTGGGCCTGTGGTGCAGCTGGAACAATCTGGAGCTGAAAGCTCTTAAAACTGTGGAGATGATAGGTTTTAGAAGAAGCTCTCCTATTCTACCACCTCTGGCAATATTAAACAACACAATAACAATAGGAGAGACTTCCAGGTTTCTGGGTTCTGTACTCTCCCAGGACTTGAAATGAACACCTTAAATTAGAATCATCATTTTTAAAAAACCCAACAAAATATGTTCTTCCCGCATCAACTCCAAAAGTCCAGATTGCCCAAGGATCTGCTGATACAGTTCTACAGAGAAATGATGAGTTTGTCATTTGTACCTCAATAATTTGTCTGGTTTGGCACAGCAACCAAATAGGACAGGTACAGATTTTAATGGATAGCTAGGATCAGCGGTGGGCTGCTATGGGTTCGCCCAGATTCAGGAGAACCCATAGCTAATGTTGTGGCAGGTTCACAGAACCGCCAAACCCCACCCCTGCCTGGCCCCTCCCAGCCCTCCCCTCCCTTCCCAGGAGTCTCCACATGGCCCAATTTGGATGCAAGGTAAGTGCAGGGCCTCCCGGAGTCTTGTCAATCATTCCTTCTCATCTTTCCTACTATGTTCTCCAATTGATATCTGTGATTTATCACTTATTGCACCTTACGATTAATGAAGTACAAGAAATGATAAATCATAGATTAATGATTGTAGCTATAATCTATGATATATGACCTATCCACTTGTTGTTTGTATCAACACCAGAGGTGCTATTCAACCAGTTCGCACCTATTCAGGTGAACCGGTAGCGGTTATTTGGTATGGGTTGCCGAACCAGTGGCAATCCTTGGCTGGCCACGCCCCCAACCTGGTCGCCCAGTCGCTCACTTGCAATCGTTCTCCTAGCTTTCTCTTCCCCACGTTCTCTTTCTCTCTGGGGAAAAGGAAGAAAGGCATGGACGCTGCAAGTATCGCTTTCCCCATGTGAGTTAAAGTGCTGGAGTGAGAAGGAGTGCGGTCTGACAGAGTGGGTGGGGGAATCCACTCAAGCCTTGGAGAAATTTAAAGGAGCTGCTTCCAAAACACTTGTCTGTTAAGTGCTCTGTGTGTGTATGAGAAAGAAAGAAAGAAAAAAGAAAGAAAGAAAGAAAAAAGAAAGAAAGAAAGAAAGAAAGAAAGAAAGAAAGAAAGAAAGAAAGAAAGAAAGAAGAGGAAGGTAGAGAAACAAAGAAAAAAATAGGAAGAGAAAGAGATAAACTCTGTGCTATTATTTTTAATTGTTCCATTATTTATCATGTGTTAATATTTTACACTGTCCCTACACCTAGAGTGATTTTTCTGCCTTTCTTTTGCCCAGGACTTCCACATATTTTTCAGGGTTTACATGCGTTCAATGTCAATAGTCCAGAGCATAAAATACACATGTGTTTAAAAAGAGCTGAAAGGGACCTTGGAGGTCTTCTAGTCCAACCCCCAGCTCAGGCAAGAAAACTGAGGATACTGTGAGAAGCGTTAATAAAGTATCCTTTTTATGACTCAAATCTCATGTTGAAAGATAGATTATGTCCTTGAAGTAAGGGAGTGCAGTACCAGACACCAGTTACTTTTTTGGAATGTCTTTGAAGCGCTGGGAATTATCACACTTTTTGGAATGTCTTTGAAATGCCAGATACCGGGTAAGAAAGTGTTTGTTATGTGCTGGGTACCAAAAAGATAATAAAATGTAACTTGTATCCTGAAAGATGTATTGTAAATCAAGCCATTTGTATACGCGGGAGGGGGAAGAGGGGTATAGTTTTAAGGTATAAGAGTAGAGCAAAAGCTGTGCTTTTTGTTCCTCCCAGCTGCCAAGGGTGGAACCCATCTGCAGATGTATATCCAATAAAGCCTTTTTCCTTGGATCAACTTTGAATCCTGGTGGTTTTTCTTTAGCCACAATCTCACAATACCAAACTCTGAGTAGAGATCCAGGGAAAGGTGTCAGAATAACAAAATAACACTTAGAAGGGACCTTGGGGTGAACCCTATACCATTTCTGAGAAATGGTTGTCCAGTCTTTTCTTAAAAACTTCCAGTGATTGAGCACCCAGAACTTCTGGAGACAGGCAGTTCCACCGGTTAATTGTTCTCACTGTCAGGAAGTTTCTCCTTAATTTTAGGTTGCTTCTCTTGTTCAGTTTCAATCCAGTTTCAATGCTTCTTGTTTGCATTCTGCTTCTTTGGAAAATACATTGTCCCCCTTTCTTTGTGGCAGCCCCTTAAAAGCCTGTTGCCTATCACACTCTTGGGTAAAGCATGTGAGCCATTTGCTCCTTTCAGTGGTCCATGAAAGTACATCTATAGTATGCAGATAATAAAGTCAAAAAAGGTGAACAACATTTTTAAAGAACTATAGATAAGTTGAGGCTGGGTGACAAGAAATGGCTCGGAGGGGAAGAGTGAGATGTGGCACCCCTTGATACGAGTGACATTGAGTTGGCCACACCCAGTCACATGACCACCAAGCATGCCCACCCAGTCTCATGACCACTAAGCCACACCCATCCAGTCACATGACCACAAGCCATGACCACCAAATAAGCCACGCCCACAGAACCGTTAGTAAAAAAAATTGAATTCCACCACGGATCTACACTAAGAGTTTCTGCCCCAGAGACAAATTCAGGATTCTTCTCTTCACTTCTCTTTTCTCTTCTTTTTTCTATTTTATTCTATTTCTCTCTCTTCTAATCTCCTCTCCTCTCCCCTCCCCTCCTCTTCCCTTCCCTTCCCTTCCATTCCATTCCATTCTATTCTATTCTATTCTATTCTATTCTATTCTATTCTATGATTCCTATTTCTATTCTATTCTCTCCACCATGAATATGAGTCAGTTTCCAAGCATCTGAATTTTGATCACATAACCATGGGATTGCTGCAATGATTTTAATTGAGAAAAATGGTCATAAGTCATTTTTTTCAGTGATGTAGTAACTGCGAATGGTCACTAAATGAACTGTTGTAAGATGAGGACTACCAGTACTTAAGCCTATTTGAATTTGTC